GGTTGGGCAGGTAGGCTCTGGGAGCTCGAACTCAGTCAAGTGGGAAGAGATGAAAAAGACCAGAGGGATGGAGTTTCCCACTCATCAGTACCTGCTGGGTAGCAGGAGGCAATGGTCTGACAAGAAATCCAAACTGGTCCTTGGAGGACTGAAGATACCTTTACAGAAATGAAGGGCACTGCAGGCTACATTAGCTTCTAAGTAAGACATGGTACAATTAAGATCCAACTGGAGCTGAGTTGTGCCCAGAGGGTTGAAATCAGAGTCTCACTGTTATTTAAGCATATTTTTACAGCAGTGCTACAAGTAGCAGCCAAATCATCATTAGAAGAGTTCCCTGAAAACCACTGCACACTGTAGTTCACCACTCAGGTACATGTTTCCTGTTGGATTTGCCAGTTTCTGAAATAGTCCTTATTTATGCACAACCATACCACAATCTTTTCATGACAGGGCCATCTTATGATTGAATTCTATCTACTCCCAGGCTCTATGCAGTTACACACACAACACAACACAACACAACACACACACAGACACAAACACACACACACAAACATACAGACACAGACACACACACAGAGGGAGAGGGAGGGAAGGAGGGAGAGAGAGAGAGAGAGAGAGAGAGAGAGAGAGAGAGAGAGAGAAAGAGAGAGAGAGAGAAGTAACTATTAGAAATTCCTCAGTTTGTTCTATGAGGGAAGACTTTTTGGCATCGAGGCTGTCATCTTCTTTACCAGTTTTTGAGTGTGTATAAATGCAGGCCAGAGGCTGATGTTACAGGGTCTTCTTCAGTCCTCTCCCTCATTTTTTGAATAGCCTCTCTCACTGAACCTGGAGCCCACCAACTGGCCAGATTTGCTAGCTAGTGTACTTTAGGGAACCCCCTCTGCCCACTAGTGTGTGGATTACAGGTGTGCACTACTATATCTGACATTTTCCTGGGTGTAATAAAACTCAGGGGGTAGGGATCACAATGGGCATAGAGATGGTGTCAGCCCATGGACCTGTGCCAGTAGTGAAGACACATGGTTCATTAATAAGATTCCCTGACAAAAGAGTCAATCCTAAGCGCACTGCCTCAGAAGCTTGAGATCAGCAAGGCTACCCTCTCAACCTTCTATAATTTCATACATTTTAAAGGAAGTATATCCTCAGATTTTCTCATGTATCAGGGGCCACCACACATGTAGAACTATGAACGGTTATCTTGGCAATTCATAAGGAAACCTAAGAAGAAATAGAATCTATCCAACGTGAAGATCCAGAATGATCACTGTGGCTGCTGTTTGTTATCAGACCAAAGTATTATTGTCACAGTAAGGTCTTCCCAAAATGACAAGTGAAAAGCTGTCTATTAAACAACCTTAATAAATATTCTGCAAAATGGATGCACTATAGAAACTCTAGATGGCCACTTGTTTCTTACTTTATGTATCTGGGTCAGCTTCTCCTCAAGCTGATTATATTTATTGAAGTCTACCATTTTAAATGTTAAAAATAAGAAAGTGCAGGACAGAGCATGCTGGGGGCTCCCCCAGGGCTGCATGGCCATGGCGGTTCAGGCTGTTCCAGTGCTGTGGATCCTGCTGGTGCAGACTGTGATTTCTTGCTTCTACAGGGTGCCCTGGGCTCATTTGGGGGGCATACCCAATGTGAGAGAAAAATCTCTCCAGATTAGCTCTTTCTTTACTGTTTCAGTCAGTTAATGGAAGGGTTCCCTTGTCTCTCCTTCCCTGGGCCTTGGGTTTAACCTCACCTGCACTCTAGACTCCCTTTGGTTCCCCCCTTAATTTGGTACCTATGGTGGTTTGAGTAAGAAAGGCCTCCATAGGCTCATAGATCTGGATACTTAGCCATCAGGGAGTAAAACTTTCTGAAAAGATTAGAAGGATCAGGAGGAGTGGCTTTGTTGGAGGCCTTGTGTGTCTTAGGTCTTTAAGAGCCAGGCTCAGTCTCTGTCTCTTCCTACTTCCTGCAGAACAGGATGTAGAACTCTCAGCTACTTCTCCAGCACCATGTCTGCCTGCATGCTGTCATGCTGCTTGTCATGCTGACAAAGGACTAAACTTTTGAAACTGTAAGCAAGTCCCAATTCAATGCTTTCTTTTATAAGAGTAGCCTTAGTCATGGTGTCTCTTCACAGCAATACAATAGTGACTAAGACAGCATCCAAATCATCAGAGTCTTAACCCTCTACCTACTTATCAAGTCTGTTTTCTTCTGTCCTCTAAGTTATCCTCTGCACCATTACAAGCAACTCCCTCTGATATCTTTACTTCTAGCTTCAGATTCTTTTATCTTGCTGCCCAAAGGACTTTACCTAATTCTCAGAACTGGTTGTCACTTGACGACTTGAAACCACAAATGGGTGGCTTGGCAGCCTGTTACCTAAGAACAAAATCTAGGTTCCACAGCAGAGACTATAAGTCCTGGTGTGTGTGGTCTTTTCTACCCTCTGTTGCAGTTAGTTTCTCTAGTGCCTAGTTTTGATTGGTTCATGAAAAATAGTACATTACAAAGTTATCAAAACTAAATGTGCTAACATACCTACAGAACAGAACACAGTGCTAGAAAGAAGTGATCAATGGGGACTCTTAGTGAATGACTGTGTTGGATTGAGAAAGGAGGGACAGGGCTATATTTGAATTCTATGGGGTATTGTAGAGGCAGACTTATTTTATACAAAGCTAGTTTTATTTTCATGGGACATAATGGTGACAGGGGTCTAAGGATTTAGATACATGATATCTGGAAAAAGTGACCACCAGATTTCTGTGAAGAATCCATCAGTGTGAGGCACAGACCACTCTCTGAGTGCCTATCAGCATATAGTTGCTTGTGTCGAAGCTCAGTCTCAATGTTCTGTTGGGCACAGCCTAGGATTCTCTGTTTACTCCTACGGTCTTGGAAAACTTTAGGTGTATTGGCTCTTAAGTCACTTCCAGGTGTAAGTTTAGAATGAAAGGGCCCTTAAGAGGCTATCTAGTCCAGTGAATTAGTTTTACCATCAAAAAAACTGAATCTGGGAGGCCTGGTAACTCCAATGTTACATACTCTGTGAGGGCTGCTACCTATTTTCATATAACTTGTTTCCAGATGTGTCCCCAGTGTGAACCTCTGCTTTATCTGTTTATTCAGACCATTTTTTTTTTTGGTTTTTCGAGACAGGGTTTCTCTGTATAGCCCGGGCTGTCCTGGAACTCACTCTGTAGACCAGGCTGGCCTCGAACTCAGAAATCCGCCTGCCTCTGCCTCCCGAGTGCTGGGATTAAAGGCGTGCGCCACCACCGCCCGGCTTATTCAGACCATTTTTGATTCTTGAGACAGACATCTTCTAGACTGTAAGGAACTCTACAAGTATTTACTTCCATGTCTCCTGTCTTCCATCAATACTAATAACAGGTATTTACAGAAACTCCCTCCAGGAGCTTTAGTGTTTATGCTCCTTTTTCTCCTAACACAGTGCCATCACATAAAAGTATGTTTTGTTCAACCATATGTTCACTGGGTATGAGCTCACTTGTCCAACCCATGTACTGTTCTCAGTTGATATTGACAACCATATTTTCTCAGTAGGTTTCTAAAATATGAATGACTGCTGGACAGGATTGGTGCATCTGTCTACAGACTAAAGTAGTGCATAGCCTGCCTATCATAGGACCCAGCAGCTCAGTCCCTAGAGAAGGGTGCACTTAGAACCAGGGCTGTTTTAGGAGTTAACTGAAAAGACACCCAGCCCATGCCCAGGCAGTCAGCCACCTATGGGCATAATGTTGATAATGTCTGAAATGATAAAATGTACAGAACAGCTTCTTAAGTAATTGAAACACATGAAATAACTGCAAATAAGCAACCCACTGGGGGGAAACGAGCTGCTTTCATCAGTTTCTTGTTCTTTGGAGTATGGTTCAATCTCAAAGGATTCAAGTAATTAATAAGACACCAAATCTCAGAAAAACCCTAAAGGCTCTACAAAAATGCTGGGTAAGAAGTTTCAAAGAAGCAGAAACTGTGAAGGTAGAGGATTCAAGGTAGAGAGTTTTGTTGTTGTTGTTTGTGTGTACGTGTGTGTGTGTGTGTGTGTTGTTTTGCTTTTTTCAGACTGGGTTTCTCTGTGTAGTCCACGGTGGTCTTGATTTCAGAGCTCTGCCTGCCTCTTCATCCCCAGTGCTGGGGTCAAAGGTGTGCACCACTACCTCGTGGCAAGTAAGTATAAGGGACTCATACGCAAGTAGGGGAATAGGCCAAGGATGGAAAAAACGGGTTGAGTTAAAAATGCAAGAGTTTTAGTGTATGAAAGTGAGGTGCACACATAGTACTCCATTAACATACATTTTTGTGTTTATGTGTAACAAAATGAACTTGAGCTTTAAGTGTTTTTGAAGAGTTGTCTCTTGTCCTCTTGTTATAGGTCCCAGACTTTAGGATCTAGAGGGACGATCTCAGTTTGGTGAGGCAGGATAAGCTAAGAATTCAGTTTTTAAAGCTTAGCAACTCCTTTTTACCTTTAACAGCCCTTGTATGTGTAGCCCCTTTCCATCATCTTTTAATAATGCATCTGGTACTTGGAACCAACGTCGCGGATTAAAACACTAGTGAAATGAAAGGGGGCCCTAGAGCAAGCCTTCAGCTTTGTGGCCACGTGGTCTGGACCGACTTCTTCCATTCTTGTAATCTCAAGGCAAGTTTCATGTATGTCATGTTTCCCTGTCCTAACTTCTTACTCGCTGCTTAGCGTCCATCACTTTGTACCACAGAAACAAGACACTGACCAGTAAGTAGTCCTAAAGCCACTACTTGGGTGTCAGCTCAGGGACTTGAAGGGCAAGTCCTTGGCTCCTCCCCTCCCGGGCTATGAGGGTCACATCTGTGGGTGGGCAGTTGCACGTGCGTGTCACGGGAGTGGAGCCTGTCACCATCACAGGTTGTGGCTGCCTGAACCGTAACCCCCGCAGACAGAGCTAGGCACCCGATTCCCGGCCCTCCCCCCGGGTCACCTGTAATTGTAGGCGCTGAAATGCTTGCTCTCTCTCATCATCGCCCGGTACAGATCTAAAACTTGTGCGCGGCTGGAGGCTGCCATGTTGGAAACAACAAACAAAAAACTAACAACAAAACCAAACAGGTCCTTCTTCGTAGAGGTTCCAAGTTTAACTGAACCCAAAATGTCAAATGATGCAAAAAGCACGCTGGAAGGCAGGAGCAGCGGCTCGGCCTGGCTCGCGGCCTGCGCGAGAGGTGGCGCCGCAGGCAGGGCGGCGGGCAGCTAAGGGGAGGCGCCCTTGTCCTGGAGGCTCCGCGTTCCTCACAGGCAGCCCCAGCGGCAGGAGGCCAAGTCGTTCAGGCCCAGGCTCGCTCCTCGGGCGGAGAGTCACCGGCTCGAACACCGCGGCTCACTGCCTACTCAGCCTTCCGAACTGCCCGGGGGCGTGGCCGAGACCCTTGTGTCTCCGGACACCACGCCCCCTACACCTGCCCAGGCCCGGTTGCCTGGGTTACGAGGCGCGCTCCTCAGCCCCGCGCTTGCCGGGCTCGGCTGTCTTTGGCGTTGCCTGACCTGCTGTGCGCGACAGCGAGAGTGATTTTGCTTTGGCTCGGCCTGATTGGCAGTCTGAGTTTATAAGTGTCATCTTGGCTGGAGGACGCAGCTCCACAGGTGCGGAGGTAACTAGCTGGCGACTTCCTGGAGTACCGGCTTGTCTTTGGGCGAGGGGCGCAAGGGACCTCGGGCCCGGGCCTCTTCCCGTCAAGATGGCGGCGCCCAGTGCGCACAGAGTCTCGGTAGCCAGAGGCTAACCTCAGTGACTGCGGAGTGAGCGTGTGGTCGCGTTGCAGACTTCGAAACGCCCGCGTTTGGTTTCCCCGGCACACGCTGACTGAGTGCTGGCCTTGCTGCAGAGTAGAGGTGTCAAGTCGCCGGTTGTTACGCACTTTGCATTCAGCTGTGATTTCCATTTCCGGTATCTCTATTGAGGGGCTACACTATTTTTGTTTGTTTACTGTTTTTTCTTCCTTTCCTCCTTACCCCCCGTCCCTCCGTCCCTCCCCCCCCCCCCTTTTTTTTTTTTTTTTTCTATTTTTGAGACTGGGTCTCGTTTTGTAGTCCAGACTGCTCTTGAGCTCTTGGTCGCAGCTTTCCCAGTGTTGGGATTACAAGCGTGGGACACCATGCACTACTTTTTTTTTTTTGTTGTTAAAAGCACAGTTTTGTAGTGCGTCAATAAAATAAAAAATAAAAAAGCTAAGTTTCGACTTTAGGTGTCAATTAGGGAACCTTTAGGACTTTTGGGGTTTCCTGGGCATCATTTCAGACCCAAGGCAAAAAGAGGTTTTTTTTTTTTTCTCAGCATTTGGCTATTACGGACCATCTTCTTAAAGTACTTAAGGTTTCTTGGTTTGGTCCTTGATCTTAGGACTGACTGTGCGAAGAGAAACTTCAGATAATTCTGGTTATTGTGTTTGGAACACACTCGTTAGTTTTGGAGTCTTGTTTTATATTAAGATGGTGCAATGAACCATTCCTTTCATATTCCCCGCCCTTAAACACAGCAAAGAGTAATTTAAACGATAAGACTAAAGTCAACTTACCATGCCTTATCATTTGTTTTGGTGTATCAAGTTTTAAAACAATGCAGAGTCACTGCTGAGTCTCTTGAGGTAATAAAATATAGGTTGCTATTGGTATAAATTTTGACTTCTCATAAAAGAGTGGGGAATACATTTTTTATGTATTTTACTTTCATCTTGAAAGTGAAATTAGATGCCTAATTACAAAGGAGTTAATTAGTAATGTGTACAACAATGTATCTACATGGCTTATCTTTGTGGGATCAAATGCAGCTCATAGAATATGCAGAGTTAAAATAGTTTGGGCAGTACCTCTGTCAAAGAGCAGGAAATTAGGAAATTGATAACTTCTTAGTGTTAGGTAAAATTTGTCAGAGGCTATGGATTTAGAGTTCGAACTAGTAATGGACAGAATTGACTAATCTAATGTAGAGTTTAATTTATCATTAATCATAGTAATTAAACACTATTCAAGAAGTCCTATAACCATTTCAATAACCAACTTGGAAGCTATTGAGTAGATGATTATGTTGCTGCCAATGACATTCTCTGTGAACGCCTTCAGATCACATTGTTGTTAGGAGTCTAGTGTCTACTCTGTTTGTTTTGGATTTGTTGCTTGATTCTCATGCCGTTTTGATTTTCTTTATTCAAATTGATGTAACATCGCATTAGTTAATGCTATTCTTTTCTTTCTTGGCTGTTTTGGTACTTGCTCTGTAGATCAAGCTGACACTGAACTGAGAGGTCCACCTGCTTCTGCTTTCTGGTTGTGTTCCTTTGTCACTGGGCATTGCTAGGGAGGCGAAACATTGAGCCCTGAGAATTAGAGCCTTTAAGATGGAGGTTGTGTTTGGCTTGGCTCTGAAGAGTCAGATTCGAGCAGGGCCTTGAGAGCAGAGACTTTGGATGGATGGGTCTGTCTAGCTATGCTGCTTACTATCATACTTCATACATAAGGTCTTCTGTACCAGCTTCAAGAATTTGAAATTGAATTGATTCCTCCTCTCTCCCTCTTGTTCTCTCTGTCTCTCTTGTGTGTGTGTTCTCTCTCTCTCTCTCTCTCTCTCTCTTTCTCTCTCATTTGTTTTTCTAAGACAGTGTTTCTCTGTGTACCCTGACTGACCTGGAACTCACTCTGTAGACCAACTAGACTGGCCTTGAACTCAGGTATCTACTTGCCTCTGTCTTCCAAGTGCTGGGATTGAGGTGTGCTCCATCACTGCCTGGTTTGATCGATCGTGCTCGCGCTCTCGCGCTCTCACTACCCTTTCTCAATTGTTTGCATTTACTAGTTGTGTGTGTGTCTCTGTGTGGTGTTGAGTGCCATGGTGTGCATCTGGAGGTTAGAGGATAACTTGAGAAAGTTGGTTCATTCTTTCTACCATGCAGGGTTCAATCTTGATCCTAGGTTGCCAGGCTTGACAGCAGGCTCTTTTACCCATCTTGCCATCTTCCCATCTCTTATTAACTTTTTTTTTTTATAATGGTAAACATTTGAATTTTAGTTTGATTGGATCCTCTCATACTTGAAAAGTTAAATTCCTCCACATGTAAATCCTGTAAGCAAATGTAACTCTGAAGTGTTTTTATGCTTGCTCGCTCGCTCTTTCTTCCTTCCTTCCTTCCTTCCTTCCTTCCTTCCTTCCTTCCTTCCTTCCTCTTTCTTTCTCTCTCTCTTTCTTTCTTTCTTTCTTTCTTTCTTTCTTTCTTTCTTTCTTTCTTTCTTTCTTTTATGGTATTAATTACATTTCAAAGAGAAAAGGTTTGTTGCCTCTGTGGGGGGGGGCAGGGAGGGAAGGAGGAAGGGGGAGAGGGAGAAAGAGGAAGATTTCCTCATGGGATTTTCTTTTTTTTCTTTTTCTTTTTTCCTGAGACAGGGTTTCCCTTTATAGCCCGGGCTGTCCTGGAACTCACTGTGTAGACCAGGCTGGCCTCGAACTCAGAAATCCACCTGCCTCTGCTTCTCAAGTGCTGGGATTAAAGGCGTGTGCCACCACTGCCCGGCTATCCTCATGGGATTTTCATTGACACATTTCTATAGAGCATCTTTTCAAATAGACTTAAAGGGATCTGTCCTCTTTAGTGGTTAGGCTCCTTAGCTTGTGGGCAACAATGATGAAATTGTCAACCAGTTCAGAATTCTATTTTCTTAAGCCAAATAATTCCTGCTTTTGGGGAAGAAACCGTACTTTCTTGCCCAGAGTCATCATTAACACAGTGATTCCGTGACAAGGGTAGCTTTCTATTACAGAGTACCATCATCTTTTTTCTTTATTTACTACTTCTGAAGGATAGCTAGTATGTTTTGTGTTTCCTGTATGTGAGAATGATGCACTAATCAAGATAGCTGTAATAAACAGTGATAGCTATTATTTGGCTTATTTTCGCTTATTTGAGCTTTGTTAGTCTGTTGACTAGCATCCCATTTTAGTAATTTTTCTAAAGATAAATTTGAACTTGTGACTGACTGTTTTGAATGAGGTCTAAGAGCTTTCACTTCCTGTTTGTGCCCATCAGTTGGTTGTTTACTGAAAACACTTGAGTTTTGAGGTGCTGACTTTGTTCATGTTTGTCAGTTACTGGAGAAGTTCTACCTCAGCCTTAATGTATGTGACACTTAGTGCTCTGCGTTATTTCTACTTCTGTGGATCAAAACCAGGGACCTGGGTGTTGAAGACAAGCATCTCCCACTGCCCTAGACCTTTAGCTGTAAGTCTGTGATATTACAGTAACTGATTTCTCAGTAGAATATTATGTCTTTGAAATTATGCTGGAGACTCTGATTAACCTGAGTCCATGCATAGAGGTCATGCATGATGTCTTTGCCATCGCAGTGAATACTTGTATGTGATTTAATATTTCATAACTTATTAGCCAAAACATTTATTTTCTGAGCACAATGGAAGTAATTTAGCTTGGTAAACTTGTTCTGCGTGTGCATTTGTTAGCTTGAATTAACTAATAATGTTTAAGAGTAATAAGAGCCTTTTGTAAAATGGATTACAGTAATATTGGAAGACAGTACTACAGAGTTAGGATTAGTTAATGATGATAACTTTATTGGGAAAATTATCTTCATAGTCATTCTTGGGGGAGCATACTTAAGGAGTAGTGCTATTTGAAAAAACTTAACATGTAGCACACTCTCTTTTTGAAGTTTTTGAGACAAAGATTCAAATGTGTCATCTTTCTGTCACTCATGCAGTATATGTGAAACAATCTAATGATAAAGAGGAAAGGTTTACTTTGCCTCATGACTGTGCTCTAATTTTATGGAGGCATATCATAGCCTGAGTATCTTAGTTAGGATTATTGCTGTGCTGAAACACCATGACGAAAGCACCTTGGGGAAGAAAGGGATTATTTTTGGCCTTTGCTTCTATATCCCTGTTCAACATAGAAGGAAACCAGGACAGTAAGTCAAACAGGGTAGGAACCTGGAGGGAGGAGCAGAAGCAGATGCTGTGGAGGGGTGTTGTTTACTGGCTTGCTCCTCCTGGCTTGTACAGCCTGCTTTTTCATACATTCCTGGACAGATTGCCAAAGGAGTGGCATCACACTCCTAGGGCTTGCCTATCCAGCCTGAGTTTTGATGCCCTTGTGTGATGAACCACTGAGAAGAGTTCTCAAGTTCTCAGTTGTAGTGTTTTCTCATTATCTTTTTCTGTGCCTTTGAGATGTTAGGAAGTAAAATGTTTGTTAAAGGGTCAGTCTGCGGTATGTTACATACATAGTTTTCATTACACTGTGGACTGTGCTCTCTATGATCCTGTCTCCGTCTGACACACTGCAGCACTTCAGGATGTAGTCTGAACTCCTAGCACTGACTGCAAGCCCTTATTGTCCCTGGCCAGTTCTCCAGCCTGTTCCATCCATTATTATTTTCATATGTGATTTTCTAGTTCTTTTGAACTTCACTCCTTTCTGTCCTATACCTGAGCTGGGGCTAGGCCAGCTACCTTGAATGCTCTTCCTTCTTATTGTATTTAAGAGCTACTATGTGAATATACCTTCTTTAACTGACTTCCACTTTGATGTGCCTCAGAATTGTGAAGTGTTTTTTTAACTGAGAGTGACAGGACTCACCACAGACATCTGAGTCAAGCAGATTCACACCTTTGCAGTGGTTTTGTTGATTCCTGTGACATGAGGGTTGGGAATCTAGATGGAGCCTTACTGTTTCCTGGTTTGAGTGACATTGGCAAAGGGCTAGTTTTGTTCTTTTTCATAACAAGTCTTCTCCAATGTCTACTTAATTCGCAGGTTTCAGCCAGTCTTGGCTTTTACCACTAATACTTCTTGGGTGCATATTTTTAGAGGCTGAGAAGAGGAACAGAGCTTCTAGAAAAGGGGTGCCAGTCCGGTTTTTTTTTTTTCCATGTATACCCAT